TTTNTGATAAATAACCGATTTGGCATCTGCTTGTCATGACAAGTATTTGTTACAGGCAACAAGAAGGATTGCGTTATTGGTTTTTCCTTGTTTCAATTTTTATAGACTCGCACTAATTAAGGATGATTCAGTGTGTCAAAGACAATTGACCATTTAACCAAGTTGAAAAAAACAAGATGAGAAAAGAAAAACAATCTTGATAAAGGTTGTAATCACTCTCAGGGAGGGAAAACGAACATTGAAGAAGGTAACCCTTTGCAATAATTGTGTTTATCTTCAAATTTTAACTGAGAACAAGTAGATGAGGGAATATATGTGAAGTAATGGAGATGAAATAATGAGTTTAATAATGAGTTTAAGAAGGTGAATGGATAGTGGTAAATACTGGCACTAGGTTTTTTATTTGTAATCGTAAGTTTTCAATTATTCTGCAGCAACAACTGGTGGAACTTCTTCAGCAACTGGTTGAACAGGTTCTTCGTTCTTGGTTCTCACAGCTAGAACCAATTCTTCATTGATTGCTCTTAAGCAGTGGATTTCATCATTCAAACTTTTAATCTTGTTATCATTTTCTTTTAAATAGTTGTTTTCAATCAAAGTATTCGAAATGGCTACAACTTTGATTAAGTGAACAATAACGGAGAGCAACAATTCAATTTCTGGTAATTCTCTCAGTCTGAAATTCCATCCCAAATCAATGAAGAAACAATTCGCACTGTATCAAGCTGAATACAGACTCCATATTGAATGATGACAAAATCAGTCTTCCATGTTTTTAATGTTGACCAGTAGAGGCCTCATGCTACCTATACGCCTGAAGCAGTTGAGGCGGTCAAATGTTGTTGGTGCGGCGAAATGTTGTTGGTGGCCCGCCCAACCATTGGTGGCCCGCTCAGCCATTGATTGTACTGAATTCCCTTTGGTTGCTGAAGGAATCATCTGATGTTGGCAGATCCAAACTCAGCCGAAACCTCCAACATACCCATTGACCACCATTTACTTTGGACTTACCCTCTTACCTTTGAGCATTCTTTCAAACTTCTTCTCCAACAAGTAAACCTGTTCTTGAAGGAAATCTTGACTTGTAATTTCAGTCTTTTCCAATTTCAAACACTGGTTCCAATGGTGAGTC